TCTTTACAATGAACATATACAATGTGTGTGTGCACGCATATGAACAAGAAGTTATGAAGATATATAGTAAATAATTAATACGATAGTCATTTATAAACATGCGGTGTGTATTCTTCTATTATTTTTAATCCACATTGTACTTCTCGTATGTGTTTTATCCATTTAGGATATAGAGGATCATAGTTCTCCACAGCTTCGTTCATTTTAGCTTTAAGCAACGTTTAACCCCTTCCTATGTCTCCTGCTCTGCCATCTCTCTACACAAACACCTTATAAAGGTTATTGGTTGTTTCCCTCTAATCTCCTTGCCTTGCACTATATCCTGTGTGTGTTGAATTCTCTAAGCTTTCCTGATATATGTATTAGAAACTGTCTCTTTCTGATTCTAAGTATAATTGTCTTTTCGTTCACATTTGCCTTACAACTTCATCGTTGCTTTTATTTTCTGTCTATGGCATCTCATCATCCTTCTGCAGAAGCACATCTATGTTTCTGCAAGTGCCATCTTCATATAGGAGGAAATTGTCCAGCATTCATTGGAATATAGAAGGATAGATGTGACAGAGTATATCATCATTTCCTCCTTTTTGCAAACGAAAATTTCCCATCTCTTAATATGTTACTTATCTTCTGTATTTAAATTTACATATATATTATGAGAGATGATATATAAAGTTTTATATACTAGAACAATGTTAGGTAAAATAAAATACTTCTAAAACAATAACATATCTAATTAATATAAATTAAAATAATGATGAACTAAAACTTTATGGAGTAATTTACTCTATCTCCTGTAATAACTGACATAAACAATACAAAGGTGAAACCTCAAGGAATTTAAATAAAAGATTTTTCTTTTTCTTTCGCCCTTAACCCCGGAAGGACTTACTGTGGCGCCGACGTACTGAGCTGTCCATCATTCTCCTCCATCTGTCTCGGCTATGTGCCAGATCCTTTCTCGTTGTGTGGTGTATCTTGGGCGTTTTAACCTGGCGGATCCCATCCCTCTCCAGGTTAGACCGCAGACGAGGTCCTCTAACTAGGTGGCTCACATTGGCCGTGGTACGTGGCCGTTGTAGTTCATTTGAGAAACCCTTCGTCCTAGCTGGTGAACTGCGTTGAAGACGTGCTTCGCTTAGTGGTGCCGTGTTAACACCACCCCCTCACATGAGTTTAGCCTACCAGCTGAAACGTTTTATAGGGGCATGGCAACTTAGAGCCATCATGTGAGAGATTTAGGAGACAGTTGAGGACCAGTGATGTCCGTCCACTTGAAGATGCAGCATGACAGACACCGAAGGTACTACCTTTATCCAGAGCCCTTAATCAAAGATTATGTTAACACACTCAATGTATTAGTTGCTCACGCTAGCCTGGTAATAATCTCGATTTAAAAATGCTGTTCTAATTAAAAGAGAAAACAATTTACCGATAGGAAAATGCATAAAGGTTCTTAAAATATTTCACCTTTCTTGGTAGATCTTCTATTATCACAATGTGGAATATTTAATAAGTGATAAAAACACAAATACAAACAAAAAGAAACTAGATGAAAAAGGTTAGACTATATACCAAAACGCATCTACAAATATTGAAATTTAAAAGTTTAAAATTTCAGCATCCATTCTCCTTTGTGCGCATGTGTAGTTACATCAACGTAAACATCATTTTTTAGTGCAATGACTTCTAAACGACGAAACGAGTCACGCAAATTTTTTTCACACTTTATCATTTATTTTTCTTAACATCTGTATGCATAGCTATAAATACATGCATTAATATACATGTCTCTGAGTAGATATATAATAATGAACTGTATATATATATATATATATATATATATATATATACAGTTCATTATTATATATCTATAATAATGAACTGTATATATATATATATATATATATATATATATATATATATATATATATATATACAGTTCATTATTATATATATATATGTGTGTGTGTGTGTGTGCGAGTGTCTGCCTGCTAAGTACGTGAGTGTGTGTAATATGTAAAGTAGCAGGAGAAAGAAATTAAATTATACTCAGGACTTCTTACTGTGTCCTTCACATCCTTTCTTGAAGCAATAGGAGGGTGCTTATTTTGTGGATCCTCATTCCTCTCTCAGTAATATGTGACAGATTGTACTGGGTTACATGGAACGAGCAGCAGGGAGTAATCTCTGACCTGACCGGTTGTAAGAAGTCGATTCGTGACTTCCCCAAGGGCGTGAAACATACACAAGAAAAATAAGACTATGATTACACTACTTATTCATTGAACAATTATTGATTTCATTTCAGGTACTGGGTTTGAGGTATATACAGAGTTATTCAAAAAGAATTAACATATTTCATGACGCATTGCTTCAGTTCTCAAGCATCGTCATGGAATGAATCAGTGACCATTTGAAAGAGGAGTTTTCTAAGTTTTGAATGGCTGCCACAAGGGCGCTGTAGTCACGTTGTATCTCCGTCAACGTTCAGTGGTTTGTTTAACCTCTGAATGGTGAGTCCTCAGCAAAATGCGTTCTACGTTCTCGAGTTCGCGAAAACAAATACGGTTGTCACGGTGCAGCGTGCTTTTCGAAAGCAATTCGACATTAATCCGCCCTCTCCTGAGAAAATTCGACGATGGTTTACACTGTTTCAAGAGAGTAGATGCCTGTGTAAAGGAAAAAAGTCCAGGACGACCACGAGTTTCGGAGGAACAAGTGGCAATTATCAGTTCTGCGTTTGAGGAGAGTCCACAAATCGAGTCAGCCGTGAGCTTGCGGTCTCTCAGTCTTCTATCTGGCATGTGCTAAGACAGTGCCTACATTTAAAGCCTTACAAACTATGTTCAGGCACTTACCAAGACCTTGCTCATTGCACTTAGCTTGCGAGATCGTTTAAAGTTTGCTGTATTTATACGGAAAGAATGCTCAGTAGCAGAGATGTAGTGTTTACAGATATAAACGCTTACACTCTAAATTATAAAAGTGAATACCCTATTACAAAAATGCTGTCATACAAAATTTGATAAATTGTGCAAAAGTTAACTCCTACAGGAAAAAAATTCTGCACTGAATTAAAAAAAACATAAACAAACCTTCATTAATAACGACTTTCCTAATTACATCGTTGATGAAGAAAATTAGACGACTATTAGAAATATTAATATAAATCAAAAAGAACATAATACTTCCTCAAATAACATTAAACATATCGACCTACTAAACTGTAATCAAATGCATTCTAACTATAAACAAGATGAAAAAGTCATAAAATATCTCATAAGTACTTATATATTCCCCACTGATTCCAATAAAAAAATAAAACCAATTACATATTATACTAAATTTAATACAACCAACTTGATCATATGTAATAACTCTTCTCCATCAACCAGTGTTTTGGAAAAGACCAACATTATATATCAGTTTAAATATTCCTTGGGAGATTGTATCTCTGACAAAAAAAAGTAAGTGCATATGTTGGCTTGACGACTACAACATTATTAAGACGTTTTACATTTAATTTGTCGGATACAAGTTCTATTTCACATGCAAAAATCCATTCCTGTCCACCTTTACAATACAGGAAAATACTTGTTGATAACACCAATATACTACACCACGAAAATAATGAACAATATTCTCAAGGCTGTCTATATCAAAATCAAACAACAACACCCAACAAAATTCATGACGAGTGTAACAGCAAACTTGTTAAAGTGCATATAACAAACATTTAATGTCATTTTGCGTTTGTAACAATTTTCAGTCAGCTCCCTTATATTGGGACGCTTGTTTTGCAAAATATTTCCATAGCTACAACAGATATAAATTAAAATTTTAAAATAATTACAGAGCGCGTTCGCGCGTGTTTTAAAAATCACCATCACAACGGAATGCAGATTTTATCGCAGTTACAATAATTTTGACTTTATAATTTATCCCTGGGGATGATTATGGCTAAGATCGAAAGTACTTGGTTTAGAAAAATCTACGGAGCTTTCCTTGACGAATTTCATCCTAACATCAAGAAACTGCTTAGAGAACGGGAAAAAGATCAGCATAAAAATAAGTAGACATATGTATATATTATTCAATGAAATATATATATATATATATATATATATATATATATATATATATATATATATATATATATATATATGAAGAAATGCAGTTTTAAAGTATGCTATATTTATGGGATAAAGTGTTCAATATCAGAGATAGAGCGTATTTAAATATAAAAACGCTGATGATTGCGTCTAGCATGAAACAGTCTGTCGCCTCTGTTGACTTCAATGTTTAGTTTTTATATATATATATATATATATATATATATATATATATATGTATATGTATGTGTGCATGTATTTACATTTATGTGTGTGTGTGTGTGTGTGTGTGTGTGTGTGTGTGTGTGTGTGTGTGTGTGTGTGTGTGTGTGTGTGTAATTCAGCTGGTATATATTTCCATGAACGGGAATTAAATTTAATTGAAAAGCATAGCAATTCATACTTCTACTCGCGGCCTATCAGTTTTGGCTTTTGATTCTAATGGAAAATATTTGGAAGTAGGTTTAGGCCTTCCATTTCATCTGGATTTCAATGTTCACGCTTACTTGTACAAAATCCACATATGTTCAGATATCCCAAGGAACATAACGGTAATATAACAAGCATAATGTGCACACGTTGGAGACGGAGTTCATTCGAGAACTGGAGGATGTCAGAACAGATCCAGAAAGTTGGCGTCATCCTAACTCAGTCAGTAAGAAACGGCAGCACTGACATGATCGGGTTGGCGGGGGTGGGTGATGGTGAAGAATTTTAGAATTAGTCAAGAGGCAGAAAAAGGATGAAGATAATTTCAATTAAAAGGGTTGGAGAGATTAGAACAAGTGAGTGTCGGATGTCTGGGATTTCAGTTTGCTTCCATACTGTCGTAGGTTTTATCATGCTTCGGTCAATATCAGGAAATTCAAGCAACATATTATTGCCATGCTTATACCGTTTACTTTTACATGCAACCTTGTATTCAACCATTATCCTTCTTTCTTTCTTTTTATACCCCACTCTCTTGAACGCTCCTCACTGTTCTTTCTTTTACCCTCTATTGATACATTTTCCTTTCATCTTTACATCATCTTCACTCAGCCTTCTCTTTCTTTATTAACCTCTCTCTTATAGTCGAATCTGTTTTCATTTTTTTTCCTCTTCAGTTTTCCTCCCTTTTTAACGTCTTCAGCTTTCTTGCTTTTTTTCTTATTTCTCTTACGATCGGTTTCTTTTTATTAATTTCCTTTTTATTTTCTCCCCTCTCTTACACAAGCTTCAGCTTTCTCTTTTATTCTCTTTCTTTCTTACTTTTTCGTTTTCTTTGATTAATTCTGCTTCCCATGTCTTTTTTTCCCCTTCTTTCTTAGGTTTACTTCCCCCTCTCTTACACTATCTTCAGCTTTCTTTTTCTTTCTACTCACTCTTTTACTCTCTTTTTCTACTTCTTTTCCTTCTTATTTCATTTTTTTCGTATTTGTTGTTCTCAATACCCATCCTATCTCTTTTATTTTCTTTTTTAAAATTTGACATTATTAATCGTATCCTTTCATGATTTCCGAAACATTCTTTTATCCATCCCTCGTATAGTCCTCGCCTCCTTTCACTGTCTTTCACTGTCTCTCTTCTTCTCTTTAACTTCCCTCATTTTCTTTTGCATTGTTTCTCTTTCTCCTCCTTCATTGTCTCCCGCATAATATTCTTTTCACCCGCATAATATTATTTTCACCCTCTATCATTGTATCTTGCAGTCTTCTCTTCACCCTCTCTCATTGTCTCTCGCATAGACTTTTCTTCAACCACATCCATTGTCTCTCGCATAGCCTCCTATTCACTCTCTGTCACAATGGTCTTCCCTTCAACCTCACTTATTGTCTCTTTACTTTCTCTTTTTCTCTATCAATGTATCTTGCATAGTTTTCTTTTCAACTAATTTCGTTTTAATTTATTGTATTGTCTTCTCACTTTCCGTGATGTCCTACTCTTTATACTTGTATAAACAAGAAGGCGCAAAATTAGGTATACACAGTAATAAAAACCAAACGTAGGGTGTTGAGTATACAAACATATCAATAATAAACATATCAATCCCTCAAATGTTCAAACTGTTTGCCCCTGGCGTTCATACACTCCTCTTTACCTGCAAAACATTATTTTCAGGACGTAGGCGATCATGGCTCTCCACTTACCCTTATCCCTTGTAGCTCTTAATAAGTTTCGTGCCTTTGCCAACTCCTCCAAACTACGTTCTATCATTAAGCCCGCCAGGTATATTTTTCATACTTTGCTTTCCCTTGTCTCTCTTTTCCTCTATTCGATCTGTGAGTATCAGATTCTCCATGTCCTCCTTTCTTATTACGTGTCCCAGAAATTTCATCTGCTTCTTCCTTATGTTAAGTATAAGCTTCCTCCTTGTTTGCATCCTCTCTAAAACCTCATCGTTGCCCACTCGCTCGGACCATGATATCCTTAGCATTCTTCTATAGAACCATACTTCCGTTGCCTAGAGTCTCTTCATCTTTGAGAAGACCGTCCAACATTCGCTGCCGTATAGAAGGACAGATGTCACATAGCAGCTCAATAATCTTTTCTTTGTTACCAAAGAAATTATCCTGTCTCGCAATACTCTGCTCAGCTTTTGGAATGCAACCTTCGCCATCCAAATACGTTTTCGGATCTCAGCGTTGCACTTACTGTTCTCCATCAAAACAATTCCGAGATATTTAAACTTTCGCACCTGCTTGATTTTAGTGCCCCCGACCAAATCGCATTTGGGGCTCATCGATTTACTGATGACAATTAATATTATAAGAAAAAATTATGAAAATAAAAATATTAAAAATAGTTTTAATGAATTAAATGATTTCTAGTATAAAATGAATCCTAAAACTGCTATTATAATACTGGTAATAATGGTTTAATACTTACTGTATACCTACTTTTGCAGCCCCTGTATTTAAAATTATTTCCATTTATTTTAATTGTTTACATTTAGAACAAAGGGAGATAATTCAGAGGGTAACTTTTAATTTGATTTTAATGAATTAAATGAAACCTAGAACCGCTTATTATGATATTGGTAATAATGGTATAATACTTACTGTATACCTACTTTTGCAGCCCTCTACATGTTTCTTTTCTTTTGTTTTCTCTTTTAAGCTTTTTCCTTTTAATTTCAATCTATCTAGTCACTCATCTTACTTCATCTTTTCTCCTTCATTGTTTGCATTCTTCTGTCTACATCTCCCTACTTCTGTTGCCCTATCTTCTATCTCCTTATCTCTCTCTCTCTCTCTCTCTCTCCCCTTACTTCTATTCCTCCATTTCTGTCTCTTTCTTCATATAAACATCTAAATGTCTGATGAAACAATTTTGGAAGAAACCGTAATTGCATAAATGTCGGTGTTTCTAGTACTTTATATCTTAAATTGACCTAAATTTTCGTTTTTGAAAATTGTTTTCAGTACTCTTTATTTAACCGTTCCTTTTTGGCAAATATCACTTTTGCCATAAATTGAATTTATAAAGTATATATATATATATATGCATCATCGCTTGTCTAACAGATGCTAGTCAGTAAAGTTTTTTTTTCTTGGTCGTTCTATCTTTCTGCTCAACCTGTTTGACATAGGAGACGGTAGCAGAAGCAGCACCCAGATGAGATGAGTGTTAACTCGTCATCTCTCGTTAATTTTTGCTTACACATATATAAACAGGCGCCAATTCGGACAGATAAAATTAGATATAGATAAACAGGCATGAATGCTTTCGGCTCATATAGTCTCACACTTTCATAACAGTACAAAACATGTAGACGTGTTCTGCATACATACACACCCAACTAAATATGTTTTCAGAAGAAAAGGCACACCTCATTTAATTTATTACTATTAACGCAAACACTGTTTCGTAAAAAAATTAATGACGAACAGACGCTTAATTGTTATTTCTATTTGGGCAAAATCTATGGCGATTTTTCAATTTATTTCACACTAATGGAACCCTAGAGATCACAAAGTACATCTTTACGATTAAGGGCTAAAAAGCAATGAATAATGAAATGAATGCCATTTGTTGAATTACGACTTGTGAAGATGGATTCTTTCATAGATTCTTCTTTTATATACCGTGTCCTTTCAGGACATAGGCGATCATGGCCCTCTACATCATCTTGTCCCTTGTAGATCTTAACAGTTTTTTTGTCATTTTGTTATTTCTCTCAAACCCTGTTCTATCCGCCATTTAGTCAAGTATATTACACGCTGCTTTCCTCTGTTCTTTTTTCACTCTCTCTGTGCTGTGAGTTTCAGATTTTCCAAGCCATCCTTCCCCATTACGTGCTCCAGAAATTTCAACAGGTATCTTTCCTGAGGTGTTTATAAATTTTTCCACTGTTCAATCTTTAGCGTTAACAACGAACTACTTTAAATTACAAAAATTGTACTTGGTTTAAACGAAAATTACATATTGCCTTTAATACATTCATTCGTGACATCCATTTTGATTTCATGGGTACACTAGTAATAATAATAATATTGATAATAAGACTAATAATATTTATTATGGTTGGCCTTTTGACCAAGAAGAGAAAAGATGTTAAAAATTGAAATTTTCAGACAGGCCTGTGTCCTTTTTCAATGAGAAATAAAATGCAGGCTTTTTTTGGGGGGGAAGCGGGGATTTTTTCACATGTGTTTTGTTACTGATAAAATAAATCTACCCCTAAAGTACAACTTCATATTATACTTTTATCTGGTAAAAAGGCCTAATAATAGACAATAAATATTATTAGTGTTATTACCAATATTAATTTTCTTGTTTTTTTTATCTCTCAATTTCTTTCATCCACCTAATATTATATATATATATATATATATATATATATATATATATATATATATATAATTATTTATATAAAATATGATTCCAACGCTACATAAGAGGTCTCATGTTTCAAAACAAGAGCCAAAAACTTCAATATAATTATTTGAGTTAAATTGAATTAAAGTACTAAGCTCTGTTCCATCTTCAAGTGAAATTTTTTTGGAATAACTTATTCCTGAAATTTACGCGTTTTATAAGCATATTCATTATTGAAATTAAGATTACTATGGTAACGGCTAGATGAGAACTCTTATGTAGCGTTGGAATCATGTTTTTAAATAAATAATTATATTTAGGCTCTACTTTTGTATCGAGCACTATTTTTTAAAAATAATAACAAAAATACTAAACAACTTTGGATTATTTACCTAACGAGTTCTTTCCTATTTTCTATATATTTTACACACACACACACACACACACACACACACACACACACACACATACACATATATATAAATATATATATATATATATATATATATATATATATATACATATATATCTAGAGAGAGAGAGAGAGAGAATGAAAGAGAGACAAGTTAGCAATCATCTGTAAGCATATACATGTATATAAAAGTAAAAACTTTTATATCTTCAAGACCCCAACTGCATATTGACACTGACCATCTATATCTTGCACATGCATAAATGTTTTTAATTAATTTTATACATAAGCGTGCTCGTATGAAATTTTTATTGTGATACCGAGAACACAATAATCGAGTAATGAAAATTAGATTTCAATGAGAAAAATCAGAGAAAATTGATTGCTTCGGTATGGTCAAACCTTTTTCAGGGAAATAGATTTCTCAAGTGCACTCTTATCGTTCTTTCTAGTACTAATGGCCGTTTCATTCCTAACTTTTTGTTTGGAGTAGTATGGAAAGTCAATATCATGATTATATCATTATTTCTCCTAGTTACATGTGCTACCCATTTTAATCGTTGCTGCTGTTGAAAGTCTTCAAGTGATGTGGTTTCTATTATTTGGTAACGTTCTTTGTTTGGAATTCTGTAGAGCCAGTCCAATAGATACGATGAAGCGTTGTCTTCATTAACACCTATGGGATTCCTCTGAAGCTATTTTTAATTATTGATTTGAGAAAACGGTTGAATGTAGCTGAGGATTTAGACATATTTCTGAATGATTTGGACGTCATGCATAACATCCATACAAGATCTGACGTGTCTATTTAAGAATATGAATTGGATTCTTAGGTTAAGTTTTGGTTCTTTATCTATTTGCAGCTTTGAGATAAACTACCAATCTATTCTATTTTCAATTTCCTTATCTCCTATATTATTTTTTTATAACTGATCAATACACTAAGGTATTTGAAGAGTTTAACGTTTATTAATTCATGTGCCATTTTTATTTTCATTCCAATTCCAAATCATAGATTCTCTTTTAAAAAGGTTTGTCTTGTGTCCTTTTTCTTGGAACACTTGGTAGATGATGATATTCTTTTTCATGATAGTGAATACTTATATCATCAATACAGTCATCCATCCATCATCGGTTTGGTTTGGTTTCCGGCTTATTCAATGAATTATTTAATGTCAACAAGATTTTTATTGCTGGTAATATTTTTTTCAAGCATGTATTGCTGGTAATAATTTTCTTTTTCAAAAATGTACTGATAGTAATAATTTATTGCTGGTAATAATTTTCATTAGTACAAAATTATTCCAACAACCGCTTAAGCATAATGTATCTAAGCTTTTCGTGACTATCCCGAACTATCACTTGAATTTAAGATTAAAAACTTCCTGACAAAACCTTCACCAATTAATGCTTAGGTGAGGAACATAATGGTTAACACTAAACTTGAACAGGTTAAGATTGTATTAATTGGAGAACCATCCTCTTGGGATTCGGTTCTATACATCAGTGATTCGCAGGATGAAGTTGCTCGAGTGGAACTTACTTCTCTCCAATGGAATACGGAGGGAATGTAGGTGGATTGCTATAATCTGAGCGACATGGCGGGTCCTAGCCGTGAAGGTTAGAACTAGCGGAACCAAAGAATGCAGTTCGTCCGAATA